TATTGCTCTATACATCTATCTTTTGCCAAAACCACACCATCTGTAGCTTTGTAATAAATTTTGAAGCTAGAAATATAGGCTTCCAACTTGCTCTTCTTTTTCAAGATTATCTTTGAATTTCCATATGAATTTTAAGATTTGATTTACTAAGCTCTGTAAAGAAGCTACTGAGATTTTTTTTTCCTAAGACAAGGTCTCATTATATAGTTCAGGCTGGCCTTGAACTCACTTTGTGGCCCAGCACAGCCATGAACTCATGAAGATCCTCCTGCCTCAGTCTCCAGTGCTGGGATTGCAGGTGTGTGTCACCACACCTGGTTTGTTACTGAGATTTTGATGGAATAGGATGTATAGTTCCTAGCCCAACCTCTCCCGAGCTCTATTTCTACTCCCCCTCTGAATTCCCTGAGGCAACCTGAGATCTTTTCTAAAAATCCCATCTTTTCTTAACCAAATTATACCAAGTTTATATTTTTTACAATAAAAAATCTTAAAATTCAGCCGTTGACTGTACCCTGTACATATTTCTTTTTCAGGTTACAAATATTATATTTACCAGCTAAAACAAGCAGGCCCTCATAAAAGCTTGTGCATTTAAATTAGATAGCCCAAGACAGACCCAAAAGAAATACTTCTCCCACTCCAAATCCCTTAGCAACTCTGCTTTATACTTCACATCTCATTCGATATGCAGATACACTCTGGAAGCTCTCAAAAGACCAAACATTGTGCTCATTAAACAAAGGACATGAAAACAGAAGCCCAAAGAAGCTCAGTGTCTCACCCAGGGCAACTCACCCTGAATCCGGGCTACAATGATGCACACACCATGCCAGTCCAGACATGGGGGGCCCCGGTCCTGCTCCAGCTTGAGGTACTTTGGAAGACACCTTCCAGCAGTCTTCCTGGACTCCTACCTGGCACCCCTAAAAGCTGAAAGCTCTCAAAGGGAAGAAAATTTTTTCCTCTATCCAAGGAGTGCTTACTGATCACTCTCTCATTTCCAAGAGAAACATACCAGAGTGGGGAGCATCTTATTCTGATCTCCTTATATGCCAACCCTCAAGCCCTGCTGTGCCTAACCCAGGGACCTGGAACCAGGGGAGATACAGTCCATGCTGTAACTTTTTTTGTTGTGGTGGTCTTTTTGAGACAGGGTCTCACTATGCAGTTCAGGCTGGCCTTGAACTCACTTTGTAGCCCAGGCTGGCCTCGAACTCACAGCAGTCCTCCTACTGGAATTACAGGTGCACACCACCACACCCAGTCAGTGCTGACAGCTTACTGGGAAACCTTTCAGAGGAGATGGAGTGGAGAAGCTGCTTCTGAAAAAGGACAACTCGCTGAGAGAATTTTTTCAAGGCAGGGCAGGGGTTGAATCCAGGACCTCACACGTACTAGGCACGCGCTCTACCACTGTGTTACACCTCAGTCCCTGGAGGAATTTTTATGCATGAGCTAATTCACTTACATGTGGTAGAAGAATAGTTTTGAGCTAGCAGCCGATGCTGGTTTCCTCCTTTCTAACTCATTCAGATGGAACAGATAGTATTAAGTTCTCCCCAGAGGAGACAAACATGACAAAGCAGAAAGCAGCAGAGATAACGGCCTCTCAGAGAGGCAGAGACGCCATCTACCCTCTGGAATATGTCATCGTGAGCAAGACAAGAAGGAAGCAGGTGGGTCCACTGGACCCAGGAAAAATGGAGACAGTGTAGAGAGAAACTCCAACAAAGAAGGAGGTAGCTGGAGCATCATCTCCCTGAGATGGGACTCAGCCTGAGAGAAGCAGTTCAAACCTGTGGAACCACAGTGATGGCTGGCGACCCCAGAGGCCTCTGCAGAGAGACGCGGTAGTGGAGGGGGCCAGTAGACACGAGGGACGGCACTGGCTGGTGGTGAGTGTAGAGGACTTAGCCCTCCCACAGGAGGGAGCAATTAGCCGGGATCATCTTGGAGAGGGGCTGGCTGAGCCCAGAACCCAGAACTGCTGCCAACTCCATCTAGAAGCTCCCAGCTGGACCAATCCCACGGAAATTGTTAGGATGGTGGCGACCCCAGTGAGTCTGGTCTTGGGGCAGGTCTGGTGAGATTATTCATTACCCCACCAGAAAGCCACTGATCACTTCCGGGATCTATGCAAGCCACAGACCAGGACTCTGTCTCTACACACTGTCTACTAGTGAAACCAGAGAACCCTGGAATGGACTTTGTCTTTCTTTTCTCTACTTTTCTTCCTTCTCTCTTTCTCTTTCATTGTTTGATCTTGTTGTTATATGAGTGTGAGGGTGGTTCCTAGTCTCTTTGTGGTTGTAGTTCAATTCTGTTCCTCCTTCCTTCTCTTCTCTCTTTTCCTCCAGTCTCCGCACCAGTTTCCCAAAGTTGGTGTGATCCCTCTTTGTCCTCCACCCTTGCTTCTAAGCCCTTCTTCTTCTTCTTCGGCTTCTCTGTTTTCTCCTTTTAATCCATTTTAAATCCTAACCCCTAAGAGAAAAGTTGACTTGTATACCGCATATAATTTTCCGGCTTGTTTTAGATTTTGTTGCATAACCACAAATCTAGTTCATTCAGTTAAAAGTGGAAAATTAAGGGTTAGCTCAGGTTGTCATTTTCTCAGATGTGTTTGATGCCACTACAGCCATAACTATTCCAAACAGCTGTTGCTCCTGGTATTTCACGACTGAGACTAAGTGTCACAGAAAACACTGTGGCACAGAGCCAGAGAACCACAGACTGGGCCAAACAAGCAACAACTTCTCATCTCCAACAAACTGAAGACATAAGATCCTCCAACAGACTCAAGCCCAAAATTCAGCTACACCTGGAAGATACCTCAGAGATGTAATAACCACCTAGGGATCCTAAATCTAGCAATAAAGCAACCCACTATAGGCAATTTACAAGTATCACCTCAAGAATTAAACTAAAAACAGACAGAAAAAATAAAAGATACTTAAACCAAATGCAATCCCAGACATCAAGTTCACCAAAGGCAAATCCAGGAGGCAATGAGTGAGTGGGACAATCTGAAAGCCTCTCACTTGGCCTCCCTGAAGTGGTAACAGCAAAGCAACTGAAAAAATGAAGTCAGAAATAATGTCTCAGATAAAGACCATGCTTAGTGATGCCAGAGCAGATTCAGACAAAAAAAATAAGTGAGCTGAAGAAAATTATGGGAGCTCAGCATAGGAAAGAAATAGAATCCATCAAGCAGATTCAAGCAACCAGCTGATTCTGAGGACAGGCTGAGTTGATAGCAACTGAGGTACAAAAACAACTAAATGTTTACACTGTTTGGTTGACTTTGTGGGCGTGGAGTCAGAAGGCTGAGCATCTATTAGGATAATAACAGTATGCAACATAGCAAATATGGGAGGCTTCTTTCTGTTTTGTTTTTGAAATTCAATATTGTTCTCACGGTTTTATTTTGTCCTGATTTATTATTTTATTTTATCCAATGTTCTCTTTTGATTGGTTTTATTCTGTTTGGTACTATTTGATTTTACTATGTCTGATGGAATGGACAACTATTTTGAAGAGAACAAGATGTATTATGGTAGCCACTGTTGATTTCCTATTATCCTGTTTTGAGTTCTGTACCACTATCACTGTTTTGTTTTGATTGGCTTAATTCTGTTTTATTTTGAGAGATTTTATTCTCTTTAAAATAAAAAAAAAATTCTACAGCAAGGCATGTCACAGTCAAGATCCCAGAAATTCAGCACAAGAACAGAATATTAAAAGTTGTTAGGGAAAAGAAATAGATCAACTATAAACGAAAGCCCACCAGAATCACAGCAGACTTCTCAGCACCAATTCTCAAGTCAAGGACAGCCTGGAGTGAAATAATCCAAGCTCTGAAGGAAAACAGCTTTTAACCCAGATTGATGTACCCCGCAAAACTGTCTTTCAAAGCTGATGGAGAATAAGACACTTTCGTGACAAAGAACATCTGAGGAAATTTATAACCACCAAACCAGCACTCCAAAATGTTCTAGGGACATTCTAGAGAGTGATAATGAGGACTATAGTTCCATGAACCCCCAAGAGAAGGAATCCAGGCAAGGAAAACAATTAGAGAGTGGGGGGAAGAAAGGGGAGACAACAACAGTAAAATAACATGACAAGGATAAGTCAATACATATTACCTATACACATCAATGTTAATGGCCTCAACTCGCCAATCAAAAGAGACTGGCAGAATGGATCAAAAAGCAAGATCCAACAATATGCTGCATTCAAGAAACACATTTAATTCAAAAAGAAATTCAGAGACTGAAAATCAAAGGATGGTAAGTTCCACCCAAGGGAAGGACACAGATCGAAGGCTTTTTTAAAACTTTGGTGAAGTCTCAAAAGAAAAAGAATTAGGATGCAGACACAATGGTTTGCTATAAACCTAGATGGAAGAGGAATGCAGCTGGGGAGAGCAGGGAAGGCAGAGGTCTTGGAGAGAGATGTGACTGCTTGGGGCTTCTCCAAACAGACCAGCAGACAAGTGGCAACTAAGATAGACCCTTCCCAGGTCCAAGACTTCAGGCATGGAAGCCTCAGAGGGTCCTAGCCACACTGCCCAGAATGATGCGGTCGTGTAGAAAATTACTCATGACCTGCTGAGCCCACACACACTCTCCAGGTTGTTCTCTGAGGTTCTAGAACCATGTGACATAATTTTTCAAGCAGATGAGAAATGTCAGGGAGACCATTTAATAGAACTGCAATTTCACATTATGGTGACAGAAAATCAATTACCTTTCTTTCTGCTAAGTCACATCCCTGATGTTCATTACCAACATGCTGGTTCCCTCTGCTCCCACTCCCACCTCTGCCTTTCTCTGGACAGCCAGAAATCAAAATCCCTATCCAGGGATCCCACCCTAGCCCAGCAAGCCGAGCTGAAATCTGACAGTACGATCCCCTCAACTGTGCTCTTCAGGATATGAAACAGCTCCAGCCTACCATCATCTCTGGTCTCTAGAGAAAAACAAGCAACTACTTACTTGACTTTCAGACCCGCCAGCATGGTCTTGTCGATCCTGCCAAGAGAAAAGCCAAGGCCTAAGTCAATGCGGTGCTGACAGCTCCCACCCAGCACCTGATGGGGAGGGGTCCCTGGGCCAGCCCATCCCTCCATCCTGGCAGCCCCTGCTGGGGATGGCAACTACATGGTCAGCTTCTCCTCTAGCCCCTGAAGAGAGGACAGAATTCTGAGAGGGCTGGGTCACCATACCTGTATGAGATGGGTGCTGCTAACTCTACCATTTTAGAAATGAGTGAAGTTCAACTCAGAATGGTGAAACCAGAGGCCCAGTCTCATTTCACTGCAGGTATCTGACTGGACCCAGGAGTCTTAAGCATTTTGCACGTAGCCTCCCCCCTTATTACTGCTACCCAACAGGAAGACTCTGCAAAGCCCATCTGCATCCACCATGGGCAGAAGACAACACATCAAGGTTTCCTGGCCTTCAGCTTTGGGAAGACCCAGCACCCCATCTGTAGGCACCCTCCTGTCCATTAGACAGGGACACCCCACTCCTGGGACAGAACCCAACAGTAGGCTCCAGAGAGAACAGCAGGTGGGTTTCACCAGGCAAGGTGCCCAGAACAGGGAAGATCACGTTTGCCACAGACTGTCCCAGCAGCCGCTCCTGTGCCTAGCCCCGCCCACCCAGCTGGCACAGGAGGCAGCGCCATGAGCTTCTGTTTTTACTCCCACAGATGCCAGCACTCATGGCTGTAAAGGGAGGGTCCTCCCGCTCCAGAGACAGAGAGGGGCCATGTGCCCACTGTTGGAGTCTTCTCTGGTTTTAAGGTCATAACCACCAATGTCACCACCCCATCACCATCTCCGAGTCTCCACCATCTTGTCACCAACACCAGCATTTGTCATTCATACTATCAGAGTCACCGTCACTATACTAGTGTCCCCACCATGTATGTTACATCACCATCAGTGTCACTATCACTGCAGTGTACATCACTAAATGTCACTACTGTCATGTTGCCATCATTATCAATGTCACTGCCTGAGTCGCCATCATCTGTATCACCACCACCAGCATCCACACCACTACTGATGCCACTAAAATGACCACCAGCTCCAGGATGCTCAAAATTCCTTCAGACACTCAACCAGCTGGCTCCACTCTGCCTCAAGCTCCCCATCACAGGCTGCAGGGCCAGCAAGAAGAGGAGAAGACAGAGCTGACCAGCTCTGGTCAGCACTGGGCCCTGAGTTAGGACCATGAGCCTCTCCCTCTGAGTAGGCTCCCAGAAACCTCCGCTCTCAGTTCCCAGCAGTGAACCAAGCCACACCACAGGTGCCGTCCCAAATCCCTACCAGTTTCTTCTCCAAACTTCATCACGGACCCGTCCCTAGGGCGCCCACTCCTGACCCCCCAGGGACTCACCTAGGCATCACCCCACCCCCTTGGGAGGCAGGCTTCTCTCTTCTTCCATTCAATCCACCTTATCACCAGGTCTGACCAGGTATAAGAGCCCCACATTCTTCCAAAACACTTGTAACCAGAGCTATCTACCTGTCTCCTTAATATATCACCCTTCACCTTACATTTTCTCAAGGTATGTCTTTTAATTCATATAGCAGCCCTCTACCATGAGGAAGGCTGAAACATGGGGAAACTGAGATCCACAGAGAGGAAGTACACTGTTGGAGTTCCTCAGTGTCAAGGTGGAGCCAACACCAGACCCTGGACTCCTTGTACGAGTGCATCCTCCTGCCCTCTGTCTCATCCACCCAACCTCCCTGCACAGGGTGCAGGCCCCAGTCACCCTTCCCCAAGCCCCCTTCCAGCAGCCTGTCCACAAAGGTTCCCCCAATGGGGAGGGAGCCCTCCAGAGGGCAGGGCCTGTGGTTTGGACAGTAGAGATACAGCGAGGCCAACCTTTTTAGGAAGCCAAATCGCCAGGCTCCTCCCTCCCTTGGCCCATGCCACACACTCCCACCATCTCACCCATCCTGTCACCCATGGCTACCCAGCTAGCAACCAGCAGAGCTTTTAAAACACCACCCCGGAGATCGTCTTCCGTGACTAGTAAGACCCAGGGTGCAGGAATCTAATTTAGTCCTAACCATCTGTGATATCCCCTCCCAGCTAACAGCCATCCCCAGAGGGTGCCACACTGCAGTCCTACAGCCCATACCAGAAGGCCCTACCACCCCCTAGACCCCACTTGCCTGCTGCATGCAAAACATCTCACTTAGTCTACAAGCATCTCCTGAGCACATGTGCTGGCCAAGTGTCCAAGAGACCAGTGAGTAAGACAGAGCAGGCCCTGCCCTTCAGGAACCCAGTGTGGTGAACTGTGATTAGCACATGCTTGACACACTAGATCTCTTCCCCTACCTTTCCCTTTGCCTCCATGGCAGCCCTAAGTGGCTACATTTACATCATCCCTTTGCCTGGTCATGTTCAAACTACGGTTCCACTTTGTCCAAGGACCCTAAAATAGTGGGTTTCGGGGCTGGGGATTTAGCTCAGCGGCATTAGCACCTGCCTTGCAAGCAGGTGGTCATGAGTTTAAAAAAAAACAGTGGGTCTCAATGCACAGCACTGCTTTCTGCGGGGATAAATCCAGACTAAGACCTGAGCCTTGCAGAGGGAGCTTTCTGATGGCAGCCTTTCTGTGCACTCTACAATTCACACAGAAAGGAGGATCCAGGAGGACAATCCCACTCCTTGGGTCCTGCCCTGTAAGAATCTCAACCCAGCCTCACACATCCATTCAGGGGCTAGAAGCAGCAGACTGTGTGACTCAAATGCAAACCCACCAGCAGGGAAGCTGCCCTGAGCTCCAGCATCAGGAAAGGTCGTGAGCAGTCATAGCCACCACACACCACCCCAACATCATCTCACCCTCCTATCCCATCTGCCAAACATGGGTGCCATAATCCCTTCCTGCTGGAGGGTGATGGTGAAGTGCCTTCAAACAGGGGAAGCCTGCCCACATATGGGAGTAGTTGGCCAGAAGAACAGAGCCCAGCCCTCCTGCGCCTCCCTCCTCCCTTGCTCTTCAAGCCACCCGTCTTTGGCCCACCATCTTCCCCACCAGAACACCCCAGTCACCCTCCCCTAGAACCCTCCTCTAGTTTGAAAACCCCCCAGGCCCAGATGCTGAAAGGAAACTGATAACAAAAACCACCAGCCTCTGTTCCTCAGCTGAGGAGAAGCTGTCAGCATCTGGTAAGCAAAGACAAGACTTTGACCTCAGTCTCCCCACTTTCAGACTCTAGGGAAGGAGAGAGCATCTCCTCTGTCCTAACAGAAGTTCTAGGGTGACCTAGAAGTTCCGGCAGGAGGCTGGATGCAGACCCAGTTGCTCAGGTGAGACAGAGAGGGTGGGGCAAGGAGGGTGGCAAACTTTGGAGACAGACTTGCCCCTCCTCTCACAGTTCACCCCCGCCAGAGGAGGCCACCTACAGGTCCCCTCTGTGACCCCATGGGGTCACAATAACAGCACAGACAGCAGCACACACTGGTGCCTGAACTCATGGTGCAGGCAGGCGCCTGTCCTGAAATAGAATACACACATGGTCCCACACAAGGGCACCTCCACCCTGCCAGGCACATGCTTCATGCATCGTCACACAGACCGGCAGCTGCAGTCACACATGCACACCTGCACGTGCGTGCATGGGTTCACGCATGAACACACACGTACTCACATATAATCACAGGCATGCATGCACACATACAAGAACATGCTGACACAGGGTCACGCATTCAATTACAGTCATACACCCACACTGGCAGCTATCTCCAACCTCTGTCAGATTGTACCCTGGGACAGGGAAGAGATGCTTGCAGTTTCTGATCCCCCACTTGGATCTTCCATGTCTATCTGAGAATGTCCCCTGCAGACCCAGGACTCAGGCACAACCTGAGTCCCTCTGTCCTCATAGGCAGCAAAGACACTCAACAAAGCTCCACCTCCAAGTACACTCCCAACTTTTCAACCTCCCTTTCATCTGCTACCCACCATCCGAAGCCCCCAAAGGAGACGCTGCGCTTCCTGCCAAACATGGTGGTGGCCACAGGGCACCAGAACCCAGTGATGTCTCCAGGGCTGTTAGCAAGAGAGCCGTGGAGCAGCAATCCGAAGGGCCACAGTGTAGGGCGAGCTACCAGGCGTGGCACCTCACTCCACGCCTGCCCTCAACCCCAGCTTCCTGTGGGTGTGGCTGCATGGCCAGGAGGTGTGTCCTGCACTCTGGGAGGCACTAAAGCAGCCAGGGAGGTCACAAAGGGCAGCTTCCCCACGCCCAGAGGAACCCACAGCTCCGGAAGGGGTTCAGCTGGCAGATTGCACCACACAGCCCTGGCTTCTCAGAACCCACAGAAGGCTGACAGATTCTCACAGCTCTGCCTGGGAAGTGGGGAGAGAGCCAGCTGGGAGCCCCAGGACCCCTTAGGACTGAGGCCCTTCAGGCCACTCCCTGGGGCTGCCTGAGAGGAACCTCTGACCACCGCTTCATGATGCTGCACACTCCAGATACTCCAGCCACACGTGTGCACATAAGTATACAGGCACACGAATGGGCACCAGGGCACATGGACATGCACACATGAGCACACGCACATTTGTACATATATGCCCAGGGTGCACAAGCTCACATGGGTCAGACATCTGACACAGCATGCATCTCCTCATACTCACCAGCACGCTCTTGTTTACTTACAAGTGCCCATACAAACTCATGCATAAGTACAGATGCAGACCAGTGCCCACACACATGCATCAGACTGCACTCATGCCTGTGAGGTGCCTTCACATGTATACACACACATGTACAGGACACAGACACTACAGCAGGTACAGGGCAGGTGGACACTGCCTGGCACCAGGCCCCTACTCAGCCCCTAGTGCAGAGGGGAAATACACGTGCTGTAGCATGCTATAGCTGCTGCCTTTGGTCGGTCTCTCTCTCTCTCTCTCTCTCTCTCTCTCTCTCTCTCTCTCTCTGTCTTTCTCTCTCTCTCTCTCTCTCTCTCTCTCTCTCTCTCTCTCTCTCTCT